GCTGGTCTGATTCCCACTTCCCCTCATGGCCTGAACTAGTTTTTCAGGATAATCTGGAATGTCCTCTGCCAAAGGGAGGGTACATCCGTTGGTTAGGGGCTTAGAATTTTAATTTTCGTTTACAAACACAGGAGAACACCAGCTCCTTCTACCATTTACACCAAATCCTCTGTGGAGGAGAGGCAGGAAGGGGCCCCTGAGCTCAGATTCAAGGTGCCCTGACTTCAGGGCTCACAGAAGCCCCACGCTGGACAGGGAGGAGAGGAGGAGGACACGGAGGGCTCCTCTCTGGTGGGCTGACTGGAATGGCAGTGGCCTGGTGGTGGCCAGAGCCCTCCCTTGTGTAGGTAAATCAGCAGGCTCATTTTCCAGCGCACGCCTCTGTGAAGGGATGGACCGTCCACATGCTTGAGGATACAGTCACGGCGTTTCCTTGGGGCAGCCCGGGCCTTCAGGTCTGGGTGTGTACGTCCCAAGTGGGCCTTCAGGCCGGGCCCTGAGGAGGCGCTGAGACAGGTGGGAGTGATGGCACGCAGGCGCAGAGACGAGGCAGGTACACAGGGAACCGGGCAGGTCCAGGAGGCTCCCTACGGGAAGTGGCACTCCCAGGAACCTGTCTGGAGGGTTCTTTTCTTGTGGAGGAGCCCGTAGCTGAGAGGCCACATGGCTCACTGGTTCTGTTTTTACCCTAAGCTGTGCTGGGCGGTCCTGGGCTCCAGGGTTCTCCGGGAGGGGCAGATAAACCAAGCGGAGGAGCGGCTGGAGAGGCCAGGCCGTCTCAGTGCAGCAGGTGAAATTTCCTCCCCGAAGGCCTCTGAAAAGGCGGCCTAGCTGATCCTCCAGTCTTGGCAGAGTAATTGTTTTCAGTGGCTGCATTTTAAACAAGATATTGTTTAGAGAAGACACATTAACCCGAAATTAATGAATGCTAGTATGGGTTGCTGATAGAAGTCTGCACAGGGCTGGGCGCGGTGGCTCACGCCTGTAATCCCAGCACTCTGGGAGGCCGAGGCAGGTGGATCACAAGGTCAAGAGATCGAGACCATCCTGGTCAACATGGTGAAACCCCGTCTCTACTAAAAATATAAAAATTAGCTGGGTATGGTGGCGCGTGCCTGTAGTCCCAGCTACTCGGGAGGCTGAGGTGGGAGAATTGCTTAATCCCCGGAGGCGGATGCTGCGGTGAGCTGAGATCACGCCACTGCACTCCAGCCTGGGTAACAAGGGCGACACTCGGTCTCAAAAAAAAAAAAAAAAAAAAAGAAGTCTACACGGGGTTGAAAGAAGAGAGATAATAACATTGAAATGCACATTTAGCCATAACTGTGTCTGTTAAGCGTTATTTAAATAAACTTTTGAAGATCCTTCTCTTTTTTCATTTTTATCTTTATTTATTTAGGACTACAGGCATGTGCCACCATGCTCATCTACCAATTGGATTTGTTTTGTTTTGTTTAGTTTTTTGAGACAGAGTTTCCCTCTTGTTACCCAGGCTGGAGTGCAATGGCGCGATCTGAGCTCACCGCAACCTCTGCCTCCTGGGTTCAAGCAATTCTCCTGCCTCAGCCTCCCGAGTAGTTGGGACTATAGGCACGCACCACCATGCCCAGCTAATTTTTGTAATTTTTTTAGTAGAGATGGGGTTTTACCATGTTGACCAGGATGGTCTCGATCTCTTGACCTTGTGATCCACCTGCCCTGGCCTCCCGAAGTGCTGGGATTATAGGCATGAGCCACCACACCCAGCCTGATGTCTTTCATTCATGGTGTGTAATTTTTTATTTTTAAGACAGAGTCTCACTCTGTTGTTCAGGCTGGAATGCAGTATTGTGATCTCAGCTCACTGCAACCTCTGCCTCCTGAGTAGCTGGGATTACAGGCATGTACCTACTACGCCCAGTATGCACCTACTATACTAATTTTTTTTGTATTTTTATAAAGACATGGTTTCACCATGTTGGCCGGGCTGGTCTCGAACTCCTGACCTTAGGTGATCCACCCACCTCGGCCTCGTAAAGTGCTGGGATTACAGGTGTGAGCCACTGTGCCCAGCCATAGTATATGATTATTTTTAGCTTGCAAGTTCTGTAGATGGTTTGCTAAGTTTATACCAAAGTATTTTCTTTTCCTTGGAGTAATTATAAATGTCTTTGATTTTGGTTTTCATGTTTTTTGTTGGTATATGTCAATGCAGTTGACTGTGTGTACTGATCTTGCATTTTGCAGCCTTGCTGAGCTCACCTACTCAACCCAAGAGCTCTGACATGTAGAGAGGAGAAGCTCCTTCAATGATGCGTCCTCGGCTGGGCAAGGTGGCTCACACCTGTAATCCTAGCACTTTGGGAGGCTGAGGTGGGTGGGTCACCTGAAGTCAGGAGTTCAAGACCAGCCTGGCCATCATGGTGAAACCCCATCTTTAAAAAAAAAAAAAGCATCCTCAACAGACATTTGATGATGGAGGTAGCTACTGTGGCTGCCCCATCATGGTGACAGGCTCAGACACCACCTGTCAGAGGCAGTGTTCCACAAAAGCAGGGTCCCTCAACAGGGAAGCCTGCATTGCAACTCCCCCTCTGCCAGGTGGGGCTGGGGGGATGTGGAAGTCCCCAGGCCAGCACTGGCAGTGGGCTGTGGAGGAAGGTTGTGAGGGGCCAGGTCATCAGGGCAGGGTGAGCAAAAGGTGAGGAGGAGGACAGAAGGAACTCTGGGGGAATGGGGGATGAAGATGAATGGAAGGACAAATAGGGGGAAGGCAGAGGAGGTAAAGAGTGAGGACACAGGCCCATCACACATCTCAGAGAGTGGAAGTCCCTTGGGGCCCACCCATCTCAGGACACCCCTGGGTGAGCCCCATTTTCTCTTCTTTACTGGACGGGACTCTACAAAAAAAAATTCCCAAGTGGACAGCTCTATCTGAGACACACACACAATCCCTGCAGAAGGCCCCACAATAAGAGCGGGGGCCTCACGATCAGCCTGTTCAGACTCCAGTGTGGACCATGGACAGGACCTGGGAAAGTAGGCGAATGTTTAAGAAAAAGTCAGAATTAATATTGTGAGTGTCAGAAAACAGGGCTGCTTCGGGGTCAAGAGGGCTTCCTTGTTTGGGGAATCCTGCTTGTGCCTCCACCGCACCCCTACACTGGCCTCAGCAACAGGGCTGGAGCCCCTTGAGTCCTCCCAGGGTGGGCCAGGCACAGTTGTGGGGTCAGTAGGTTTTTGCAGATAAGACTGAGCCTAAACTCCCTCCTCACCTATACGCCTCTCCATCCTAAACACACAGAAACCTCTGCCTACTCTGACAGCTGTGTCCTCCATTATAAAATGCAGATAATGTATGTGGGGGGCTTCCTACCCCAGGGTGGGGCCCACAGGCCTTCCCTGCCATCCCTCCTGCTTGGGCAGGGCACCTCGCCCCTCCTACTCTCTGCCTCCCACAGGGGTACTGAGGGGCTGGTGTGATTTGAGGCTCCGTGGAAAGCACCCGGCCTCCTCTCCCAGGCTGGCCTCGGGGGCCTGTGGCTTGCTGGATCCTCAGGCATTTGGGGTCCACAGCCCCTGTCAGGAAATGCTGGGCAGAGTGACTTCAAAACCCCCTTTGCTGCGCCCACCCTGAGGACCACACAGGCTGGGACCGGGGCCCGTTTCTGGAAGGACATTCTGTTTTTGTGGCAGGAGGGTCCACCGTCGCCTTTGCACCCCGCTTTTGGGTCCCCTGTCCCCTGGACGGGGCGGGAGCCCCTTCCCAGTCCTCACGTCGGAACTGGCCCCGCGGCCCCGCCCGGCCCCACCTCCGCCCGCGGGCGGTCCCGACCCACGCGGGAAGCTTCTTAAGCCCGGGCGCCCGACGGGACCGGCGGGGACAGGCGGGGACCGCGGAACCGCGACGATGGCGGAGCCGACTGGGGCCGAGACGGGGGCGCAGCGGGGCCCCCGCACCTACGCGCGCCGCTGGGTGTTCCTGGCGGCCGTGGGCCTGCTCAGCTGCTCCAACGCCACGGTAGGGCGGGCGGGGAGGCGCAGGCTGCGGCCGGTCCCCTCGGACCAGCGGGGTTTCGCTTTCCTGCGGCCGCAGCCGGCGGGGGGTGGCGCCTTCTCCTGGGGGGCGCGGGCACCGGGGGGGGGCGCTGTCTGCCAGCCGCGGAGTCCCAGACCTTCCCGGCCTTCGGTGGCTCCGGCTGGAGGTCCGGGTCCCTCGTCCCAGCCGGTCACGGAGAGGGGCCCTGCGGGGCCTCCGTCCGCCCTCCGCGCCCCAGGACCGCGGGCGGGAGCAGAGGGGCGCTCGGAGCCGGGCTCGGGGGGCGGTTCCTGGGCTGGGCCGGGCCGGGCGTCGGGGCTGCACCCGCCCTCTCCCGCCCCCACGCCGCAGCCCGGCCCGCCCCGTGTGCCCTCCTCGGCCCTCCCGGGAACCTCCGGAACTGGACGGGCAGCACCTGCCCAACGTGCAATTAGCAGCGAGAGTTGGCAGCAGCCCCAGGGCTCAGGGCGGCGCCGGGTGGAGGGACGGTCGGGAAGCTCAGGGCGGAGAGCAGGAGCTGCTCCAGGCCGGGGTCAGGGCTGCCGCAGGGGCGCCTGGGGCCTCTCCCCTCTCCCTTTGCTGCCGGGTGTGAAGAGCCAGCCCGGCCTCTGCCGCATGGACCTGGGGGCTGCTGCCGCCCACAGACACCTGCGCCAGCTGTAACTCACCGCCGTGGCTTGGCTTCCCGGCCTCTGTCCAGCACTGGGGAAGCCATACCTGGCTGTGCTGGGGCATCCGAGGGCACAGCGCAGCTTCCATAGGCCTGAGAGTCACTGGGTGTCCTGAGTGTGGGCGTCCTGGGTGGGGGTGTCCTGGGGAGTGTCCTGGGTGCGGTGTCCCGGATGGGGGTGTCCAGGGGCGTGTCCTGGGTGGGGGCGTCCCGGGTGGGGGCGTCCTGGGTGGGGGTGTCCTGGGGAGTGTCCTGGGTGGGGTGTCCCGGATGGGGGTGTCCAGGGGCGTGTCCTGGGTTGGGGCGTCCCGGGTGGGGGTGTCCTAGGTGGGGCTGTCGAGGGGGGACAGTCAGGGCGTCCTACTGCAATTCTTCACCATTTTATTAATATCTACAAGTAATCATGGAGCACACGGAAACCTCACACTGACGCCGTTGTCATGGTCTCTGTGTGGGTCACCACAGTGAACCACGTTCACCCCCGCCAAGTGCCCTCGAGGCTGAAGGTTACTTGCGTGCAGCCGGTGACCGGGGCTCCCGGGTTCCAGCGGGCAGCATAAGGGGCGGTTGGCACAGAGCCCCGGTTAACACCCCCACCCCCACAGAAGGCAGCCGCCCAGTGCTCTGGACGAGACTCAAAGGGACCCACGGGGACGAGCATGGATGGGGCCGGGGCTGGGACGGGAGGAAGGGAGGCTGACAGAGCGTCAGTCCTCCCACGCTGCCCTGCGTGCTTCAGAGGGTTCTCTGCTCAGTGAGGCAGCTGTGGGCCAAGGAACCGGGACGGAGCTGAGGCTGGAGTGGGGGCTTGGCTCCGCAGCGTGTGCTTTGTCGGTGGAGGCCTGTCTTTCTCTCACTGGGGCCAGGCAGGCAGCAGCTGGGCCTGCGAGCTTGTCCTGAGAAAAAAGGAAGACACGTGACTGCTGCCCAAGCTCCCTGTTGCGTCTTGTGGCTGAGTCAGACCTTCTCCGGGCGGAGCCTGGGTCTGGCTGCGGGGGCCCCAGGGTGGACTCGGGGAAACAGCCTCCTCCTCCTGTAGTGAGTCCCGTGGCTCACTGCACTTTGGCCTCCCGCAGGGATGAGCCAGTCTCACGTCCTGCAGGAGGCCCGGACCCTGTCCCGGTGTGCACGTGTGCTGTGTGCCAGATGTCTGTGGGGTGAAGAGTCCTGGTGCTTGATAATCCCTGTGGCTGGAAAGGGGCGCCTGCTCTGGCAGCATCCTGCCCAAACACCCGGGCCTTGTGGGGGGGCAGGTCAGGTTGGCCTTGGGTGGGGCCGGCCTGAAATCCAGAGGTCTAGGGGTGACCCTGCCTTCAAGCCCCCGGTCTGGTCTGGGAGGGGCTGGTCATCCTGTAGGCTCAGTGTCTGCCCCTCTGGCTGGTCCTGGGTGAGGATGTGCTCTCTGACACTGCTGTTGGGGGCCCTCTCTTGGGGGAGACGGTGGTGCCCTTCCTGGCAGGAAGGCCATGTGTCCATGCTGGGTCGTGTCCCCTCGGCCCGCACAGGCCTGCTGGCACTGTGCCCCTCAGGCTGGCTGGGCCAGAGCGTGTAGGTCCCTGGTTGCTGGCCCCGTGCTGACCCCACCTGGCCCACAGCTGTGGCTCAGCTTTGCGCCTGTGGCTGACATCGTTGCCGAGCACTTCGGCCTGTCCATGGAGCAGATCAACTGGCTGTCATTGGTCTACCTCGTGGTGTCCATCCCGTTTGGCGTGGCGGCCATCTGGGTCCTGGACTCTGTCGGGCTCCGCGGGGCGGTGAGTTGGACCCCACGCCACGGCCTGCTTTGGGACAGGGCAGGGGCCCCTGCATTTGGGTATGAGAGTCAATGCCTCCTCCCCGGACCAGGGCCTGCCAGTCCCAGCAGCTGGGGAGCCCAGCAGAGCTGTCAGGGTGGCTGTGATGGGGGGTCCAGGAGCCAGGAGGGTGGGGTGGGCACTTGGCTGGCGGCAGAGTTCCTGACCCCAACCTGGGGTTCCCCAACCCCATCCCTGCCCCTGTTCCTGACCCATCCCTGACAGCATCCCTGATCCTGTCCCCCTAGACCATCCTGGGCGCGTGGCTGAACTTCGCTGGGAGTGTGCTACGCATTGTGCCCTGTGTGGCTGCTGGGACCCGAAACCCGTTTGCCTTCCTCATGGGCGGCCAGAGCCTCTGTGCCCTTGCCCAGACCCTGGTCATTTTCTCTCCGGCCAAGCTGGCTGCCTTGTGGTTCCCAGATCACCAGCGAGCCACGGCCAACATGCTGGCCACCATGTGTGAGTTCCCAGGGAGGGAGGCCACCTGACTGTGTTCACCCCAGGCCCCTTCTGGCTCCGAGCACAGATCCTTGGCTCCCCGGGCTCTCTGGCCAGGGTGTGGAGCTTGGGCCTGGAAGGTTCTGCCTGTGGGCTGGCAATGAGGCCGGCCACACAGAGCTGATGTGTTTCCCTGTGCCTCTGCCCACCCAGCGAACCCCCTGGGCATCCTTGTGGCCAATGTGCTGTCCCCTGCACTGGTCAAGAAGGGCGAGGACATTCCACTAATGGTGAGAGTCAGGAGCTGCCCTTGTGTGGCATGTGTGGAGTGTGTGCATGCACGTCTGTGTGGTCCTGTGCCCAAGCGTGTCTGTGTCCCTATGCCTGTGTGATTTATTTTTCTGAGGAGTCTCGCTCTGCTGCCCAGGCTGGGGTGCAGTGGCTCAGTCTGGGCTCCATGCAACCTCTGCCTCCAGGGTTTAAGCAGTTCTCCTGCCTCATCCTCGAGAGTAGCTGGGATTGCAGGTGAATGCCACCACACCTAGCTAATGTCTTTTTTTTTTGGACTTTTAGTAGAGACGGGGTTTCATCATGTTGGCCAGGTTGCTCTCAAACTCCTGACCTTGTGATCTGCCCACCTTGGCCTTGCAAAGTGCTGGGATTACAGGTGTGAGCCGCTGCACCTAGCCAGTGTGTGATATTTCTGTGTGTGCCTGTGTGTATCGGGTGTGTGTGGTGTGAGCGGTGTGTCTCTGCTCCTGTGCCCGTGTGTGGTGTGTCTGTGTGTGTTGAGTGTGTATGTGTGCATTTGTGTCTGTGTGTGCACATGTGTACTATGTGCCTGTGTGTGTTGTGTGGTATGTGTGCACGTGTAGTGTGTGCCTGTGTTGTGTTCACATGTCTGTGTGTGCACATGCAGTGTGCCTGTGTGTGTTGTGTGGTGTGTGTGCCTGTGTGTTTTGTGTTCACATGTGTCTGTGTGTGCACATATAGTGTGCCTGTGTGTGTTGAGTGTGTGCTGTGTGTGCACATGTGTCTGTGTGTCTGTGCACATGCGTAGTGTGTGCCTGTGTGTGTGGTGTGTGGTGTGTGTGCATGTGTCTGTGCACATGCAGTGTGCCTGTGTATGTTGTGTGGTGTGTGCACATGTGTCTGCGTGTCTGTGCACATGCGTAGTGTGTGCCTGTGTGTTGTGTGCGCATGTGTCTGTGTGTGCACATGCAGTGTGCCTGTGTATGTTGTGTGCACGTGTCTGTGTGTGCACATGCGTAGTTGTGCCTGTGTGGTGTGGTGTGTGTGCACGTGTCTGTGTGTCTGTGCACATGCAGTGTGCCTGTGTATGTTGTGTGGTGTGTGCACGTGTCTGTGCACATGCGTAGTGTGTGCCTGTGTGTGTGGTGTGAGTGCACATGTGTCTGTGTCTGTGCACGTGTAGTGTGTGCCTGTGCATGCTCATGCATGTGCATCGTATGTGTGTGGTATGTCTGTGCTTGTGCATCTGTATTGTGTGTGCATGTGCATGTGTGTGCACATGTGTGCCTCTGCACCCACGTGTGTCTGTGTTCAGGCCTGTCAGGGGGCTGTGTACCCAGCAGTGAGATGTGTCTGGAGCTTGGGGATGCCAAGCTAACGTCGGCCAGGAGGGTGTCACTGGGTGAGGGGTGTGTTAGCAGCCAGGGCTCCCCTTGAGCCCCTTGAGCATGAAGTAGTGCAGGCCCCTCTGAGCCTGGGCCTCACGGAGGATGGCTGCAGACCAGAGGATGGAGGCAGCCAGCTGGGGGGCAGGAGGAGCTGGGGGTGGCACCTGGGGCAGGTGGGGCTGCGGTGCCAGTCTGCGTGGTCACCTATGCACATGCACACCCTTCCCAGCTTGGTGTCTACGCCATCCCTGCTGGCGTCGCCTGCTTGCTGTCCACTACCTGCCTCTGGGAGAGCGTGCCCCCCACCCCTCCCTCTGCTGGGGCCGCTGGCTCCACCTCGGAGAAGTTCCTGGATGGGCTCAAGCTGGTCAGTGCTTCGGGATCCCTGGGGTGGGGTGGATTTGGGGGCAGGGGCAAGAGGCTGAGGAGGGGACGGAGTTGGGAAGGGCCCCCAGGCTACGGGGCTGAGAGGCTCTTTCCCTGCAGCTCCTGAGGAACAAGGCCTATGTCATCCTGGCTGTGTGTTTTGGGGGAGGCATCGGGATCTTCTCCAGCTTCTCAGCCCTCCTGGAGCAGATCCTCTGTGCGAGCGGCTACTCCAGCGTGAGCCCTGCCCCACCACAGGGGCTCTGCTTCTGTTGCCCGCCCTGTGTGGCTGCAGTCACTGCAGCCTCTGGGGTGCTTGGTGTCCGACCCTGGCGGGGCCACATGAACACCCTCCTGTGCCGTGGGCCTCTCAAGATGCCATGTGGGACGTTATGTCTTACGGTGGTGGGCACAGCTTCAGTGAAGTGGGCAGCTGTGGCACAGCATGGAGGGGCTGACGGTGTTCTGTGGATGGGAAGGTGGGGCCCTGGGGCTCCCAGTGCCCCTTCCACACAAGGCCCCCGGGAGGTGTGCAGGGCAGGGCCACCTTCTGGCATCCAGACATGCAGCAGGAGGGCCTTGCTCTGCTCACACATCTCTGGCTGCCCTCTGCCCTCTGGCATCAGTGCCTGCTGTAGGATTCGGGGCATGCTTCCACCTTGGCCACAGGCACCCCAGGGGTCCTGTGCGGTGACAGGCTCCTCCCTTCAGCCATTGCTTCGCTCTGGAGTGGGGCAGGGACACAGGGCAGGAACCCCCACCCCGGCAGGCAGCCAGTGGTGCGGCTGGAACCTCTGTTGCCGGGCCTGGGTCTCGGGGACACCGCATGGCCCCACCCTGAGCCCCCTACCCTGATGGCGTGCACTGAAGATAACTCGGCCTCTCGGGGCCCCGCTCTTCCCTGCCTCCTCCAGGGCTTTGCTGGGCTCTGTGGAGCTCTCTTCATCGTGTTTGGGATCCTGGGCGCGCTAGCTCTCGGCCTCTACGTGGACCGGACCAAGCACTTCACCGAGGCCACCAAGATCAGCCTGTGCCTGACCTCTCTGGCCTGTGTGGCCTTTGCCCTGGTGAGGGGCTCCTCAAGCCAAGACCACCCTGAGGGGAGTGGGTGGGTGGTGAGGCTGGGAGAGGGCGGTTGTCGGCTTGGCTGGAACAGAGGTCTGGGCTCTCTCAGGCCTGGCCTCTGCCAGCCGGGATGGCCCCTGGGTGGGATGGATTCTCCCGCCCTGTGCCCTAAGAAGCCAGTTCCAATTCTGAATGGCCACCCCCTCCGCCTGTCTGCCGGCCGTTCCACTGTCCCCAGGTGTCCCGGCTGCGGGGACAGACCCTCGCCCTGGCCGCCACCTGCTCACTGCTCGGGCTCTTCGGCTTCTCAGTGGCCCCCGTGGCCACAGAGCTGGCGGTGGAGTGCTCCTTCCCCGTGGGCGAGGGGGCTGCCGCGGGCCTGGTCTTTGTGCTGGGGTGAGTGTCCATCTGCCCCTGCTGTACCCCAGAGACACTCCCCTTGCTTCACCCCTACCCCCCTGGGGTGGCACCATGTGGCCCCTTTTTGGGGAGGTGGGATCCTGCCTGCTCCGGTAGAAGGTTCTGAGCACCTGCTATGTGCAGGCTGGGCCAGCTGATAGGCCTGTGCTGACCGAGCTGCGTGCTGCCTTCTGGAGGGTGGTGGCACAAGGGACAGTCCCGATGTCAACCCTTCCCAAAGTAGTACCTGGCTCCGAGGGGGTGGGCAGTGGAGCAGGGGGGTGCAGGGGGATGGGCAGTGCAGCGGGGGGAGCTCAGGGATTGGGCTGTGCAGCAGGGGGGCTGGGGGGTGGGTAGAGTAGTGGGGGGCTGAGGGGGTGGGCAGTGCAACCATTGTGGGGGCTGAGGGCCTTGTGTGTCCAGGCAGGCTGAGGGCATGCTCATCATGACGGTGCTGATGGCACTGACTGTGCGACGCTCGGAGCCGTCCTTCTCCACCTGCGTGCATGGGGAGGATCCACTTGACTGGACAGGTGAGCCCCACGCGGGGAGTCCCAGGGGAACAGGACAGGTGAGCCCCACGCGGGGAGTCCCAGGGGAACAGGACAGGTGAGCCCCACGCGGGGAGTCCCAGGGGAACAGGAAAGGTGAGCCCCACGCGGGGAGTCCCGGGAGCAAGACAGGTGAGCCCCACGCGGGGAGTCCCAGGGGAACAGGACAGGTGAGCCCCACGTGGGGAGTCCCAGGGGAACAGGACAGGTGAGCCCCACGCGGGGAGTCCCAGGGGAACAGAACAGGTGAGCCCCACGCGGGGAGTCCTCGGGGAACAGGACAGGTGAGCCCCACGCGGGGAGTCCCGGGAGCAAGACAGGTGAGCCCCACGCGGGGAGTCCCAGGGGAACAGGACAGGTGAGCCCCACGCGGGGAGTCCCGGGAGCAAGACAGGTGAGCCCCAGGCGGGGAGTCCCGGGAGCAAGACAGGTGAGCCCCACGCGGGGAGTCCTCGGGGAACAGGACAGGTGAGCCTCACGCGGAGAGTCCTCGGGGAACAGGACAGGTGAGCCCCACACGGGGAGTCCTCGGGGAACAGGACAGGTGAGCCCCACGCGGGGAGTCATCGGGGAACAGGACAGGTGAGCCCCACACGGGGAGTCCCTGGGGAACAGGACAGGTGAGCCTCACACGGGGAGTCCCAGGGGAACAGGACAGGTGAGCCCCACACGGGGAGTCCCTGGGAGCAGGACAGGTGAGCCCCACACGGGGAGTCCCTGGGGAACAGGACAGGTGAGCCCCACATGGGGAGTCCCAGGGGAACAGGACAGGTGAACCCCACACGGGGAGTCCCAGGGGAACAGGACTGGTGAGCCCCACACGGGGAGTCCCAGGGGAACAGGACAGGTGAACCCCACACGGGGAGTCCCTGGGAGCAGGACAGGTGAGCCTCACACGGGGAGTCCCAGGGGAACAGGACAGGTGAGCCCCACACGGGGAGTCCCTGGGAGTAAGACAGGTGAGCCTCACACGGGGAGTCCTCGGGGAACAGGACAGGTGAGCCCCACACGGGAAGTCCCTGGGGAACAGGACAGGTGAGCCCCACACGGGGAGTCCCAGGGGAACAGGACAGGTGGGCCCCACACGGGGAGTCCCTGGGAGCAGGACAGGTGAGCCTCACACGGGGAGTCCTCGGGGAACAGGACAGGTGAGCCCCACACAGGAAGTCCTTGGGGAACAGGACAGGTGAGCCCCACACGGGGAGTCCCGGGGGGACAGGACAGGTGAGCTCCACGAGGGTTGTCCTTGGGGAACAGGACAGGTAAGTCCCACACAGGGAGTCCCCAGGAGCAGGACAGGTGAGCCAGGACAGGTGTGGCAGTGATTGGAGGTGGGGCTGGCACACTCATGTCTCAGACCTCTCGCCGGTGACCTCAGAGCTCCCAGCTCTCAGGACCTGGCTCTGCAAACACCTCTGGGGGCTGTCAGGGGCTGGGGGTGGGCTCTCTAGTGTCAGTCTGTGGTCAGGGGTGGTGGGGTCACCATGGGCCAGCATCGGGTTCTGCCCATATGTGGCCCCGGGGCGTGGCTGTGGGGACAGCTGTGCCATGTGTCCCCAGTGTCCCTGCTGCTGATGGCCGGCCTCTGCACCCTCTTCAGCTGCATCGTGGTGCTCTTCTTCCACACTCCATACCGGCGCCTACAGGCCGAGTCCGGCAGGTCCCCTGCCACCCAGAACGCATGCCCAGGCACTGAGGACTGGGCATGTCCCCCGAAAGCCACCGCTTGAGGCCCCAGCATGGCGGTCCCAGCTTGGAAGCTGCAGGAAGCTCAGGGACAGCTCATTCCTGGGGCCACTTCTCTGGGCCCTGCCTCCTCCTCCCAGAGCCCCACACAGACCGACTGGGGGCGCGCGAAGGGGAGGCAGGTTCGGTCTCCCCAGGCTGCGCTGGCCCCGCCAGAAAGCTAAGTGCACCCAGGACACGTGGGAGAGCCCCCGAGGCGTGTCTGAGAGAGAGGGAGACTGCTGTGTGGACAAGGAACAGGCAGGCCCCCTGTGTGGATGAGGACCAAGGAGGACGCTGTGTGGACGCGGACCCCGGAGGACGCTGTGTGTACCCAGACCACGGGGGACGCTGTGTGAACCCAGACCACGGAGGACGCTGTGTGAACCCGGACCAGGCCTTAGGCCCGGGATGGACGGAGAGGGCGCGGGACGGGACGGGGTCCTGGGCGCAGCGCCGCAACTCCGGAGCGCACGGGTGTGGCCTCGCTAGAGGATCCAGAAGGCCCTGGAGCCCCCGCCCCGCCCCCCGCCTAGTGACCCCGGCGAGCGGACTCAGACTCGCAGGCAGGTCCCAGCGTCCAGGTTTATTGAAGGGGCCGCGGCTCACTCCTCCTTCTCCTCCCCGTGGGTGATCACGTAGCTCAGCGCCTTGTAGTCCAGGTTGCCCGCGGCGTCGATGGAGGCGAACTGGAACATCTGGTCCACCTGCCGCGGGGACGGGGGCCGCGCTCAGGCCGGTGCGGGGTGAGGGGCTTCCTGCGGGCCAATTACAGGCGCGAACCCCCAGCGGCCCGGTGTGGTTTCTGCGCCGGGGGAGGTGGAGCAGGGGGCTGGGGACGGTGCTGGTGGGGGGCGGCGGCGGCTGCAGCCACAGCCTGGGTCCAGGTGCCGGGCTTGGGCCCTTCAGCAACGTAGGGGAGGACCGTGTGGGGTGTGGCGGGGACGGGGGTTCTGGCAGGTGGCGCTGGGGCTGGAAGCGGGGTCCCGGGTCGGGGGTGGGGGGTGGCTGCGGGACGGCTTAGCTGTGAGCCCCGCCCCTCAGGCCAGGACAGACGCTCCAGCCGCTGACCCCGCCCTCAAACGGGCACTTCGGGAGCCCCTCCCCTGCCTGTCTGCTGTCCTGGGTCCCACCGCGGTGCTGCGGCCGCTCCGGCCCCGCGTCCCCCCCAGCTGACACCGGAAGCCCTGCCCTCCCCTCCTGGGCTTGGCAGAGGCCCGTGCGAGCAGGGGAGCGGGGCGCCAGACCTCATCCGCCGTCATCTTGTCAGCCTGGGACATCAGCAGACGCTTGATGCTGAGGACCAGGAAAGGGGGTCAGGGGATCAGTGCGGCCTGATGAGGAGGCGCAGGAGCCTCCTCGGTAGGGCTCAGGTGCTCTAGAGCCCCCCACAGTGCACCTGCTCACCACACTCCCGTCCGCAGGCGTGTGGCCCTGGGGCAGGTCCCCTCCCACAACATTCAGGGGTTTTCACTGCTGGGCAGGGACAGCTGGGGGGCCACTGATGGGGACAGAGCCTAAGGGAACTTAGAGGACACACTCAGCGGCCATCACTGCTGGGGTCCCTCTGGGGGCCACTCATGGGGACAGAGCCTGAGGGAAGTGACATGTAAGTGCCTGCCGCATCCTCAGCACCTGGAAGGAGCTGCAGATGGAGGAGTGCCCTGAGTGGAAGTGCCCCCAGGCACCGGCAGCTGGTTGCTGCAGTGGGCAAGGCTGGTCCCCCCACTCAGCTGGGATCCTGGGTTGCTCCTGGTGACCCTAACGCTGGTCAGAGCTGGAGAGGTGGGCGTGTTCTCTGGTGGCTGACTGTCCCTTTTGGCGCAGGGTGAGATTGTTGGGGACCCCTGGAGGCCAGGCCGCCCTATCCGACCCGGACACTCACTACTCCTTGTTGATTTTCCCTTTCCCATCTGGGTCCAGCATCTTGAAGGCGTTTAGAATGGTCTCCTCTGCGTCGGTACCTGCCACAAATGTGCCTTCAGCCCCGGGCTTCCGAGTCGCAGTCTTGCTGCGGCTGCCAAGGGCAGCTGGCAGGAGGCCAGACCCCTTCTCCCGGGACTCCCAGCCTCTGCCACAAGGTGTCCTCTGCCTGAAGGCCTTCTCCACTCCTGACCCCTAGGGGAGCTTGTCGGGCACTCCTGCCCTGGGGTGTAATGACTCACGGGGCCCAGGGTCAGCCCAGGCCTGGAGCTGGGGGCGAGTGGTGACCGAGGTCCCTGGCGGTGGGTCAGACAGCATGTGGGGCAGGAGTGGGGGCCTGAGGGCCTGAGTTCACAGCTCTGATGCGGCTGATGGGGCCCCACAGCTGTTGGCTTCCAGAGCACCAGGCCCTAGGGCCTCTCCAGAGACTGGAAAAGAGGGATTGTTTTTTTTTTTGAGACAAAGTCTCACACTATGGCCTGGGCTGGAGTGCAGTCCAGCTCACTGGGTTGGAGTGAGATCTCAGCTCATTGCAACCTCTGCCTCCTGGGTTCAAGTGGTTCTCCTGCCTCAGCCTCCCGAGTAGCTGGGATTACAGGCATGCACCACCATGCCTGGCTAATTTTTTTTTTTTTTTTTTTGTATTTTTAGTAGAGATGGGGTTTCACCATGTCGGCCAGGATGGTCTCAGACTGCTGACCTCAGGTGATTCATCTGCCTTGGCCTCCCAAAGTGCTGGGATTACAGACGTGAGCCACCGCAGCCAGCCGGAAAAGAAGGATTTTTATGTGAAACGTCTGCTGGATCTCTAAGTGCCAGGAATGAACTAGGAGGGGAAGGCCTGTCCCACCGGTGCTCACCATTCAGCTTCTCCCCGAACAAGTTGAGGAACATGGTGAAGTTGATGGGCCCCGAGGCCTCTTTGAGCATGGCATCCAGCTCGTCGTCCTTGACGTTGGTCTTGCCTGTCACAGACTCGGGGGCGTCACGGGGCAGGGCCTGTTGCTGCGTTTGCTGTCCCCCCAGCAGGTGACTCCAGCACCAGGCCAGGCAGGTAGATGGGAGGGACGGGAAGGGAGTGGGAAGAAGGAGCTTGGCTCTGGCGTGTGGGACAGGGGGTGCATCTGTGTTCATTTCACCCCAAATCCTGAGCCCCAGGACTAAGCGCTGAGGGAGGAGGTGACACAGAGTTTGGGAAGGTGCTGGGAGCTGCTGTTCTCCTTACTTTGGTGAAAGCAGGGCCGGGAGGAAAGTAGGGCACTTGCGACCCTCCCACCCCAAGGAGAAATCACTCCCCAGCTCCCAGGGCAGGACCGAAGCCCTATGCCCTACTGCCTCAGGCCACAGGCAGCTGCTGGGAACAGAACATCCCACAGGGAGAACTGAGGCTGGGGAGGGTAGGGTCCCCACCATACTTGGGCTGTGCTGCAGAGGCTGGGCATGGTTTCCATTCCCCCTGAGCTCTGTGGTCTGGCTGGGCAGGGTCTCCAGGCCCTCCCCACCCCCAGCTCTGTGATCTGGCACAGCAAAGTCCCCACACCCTTTATCTCTGTGGTTCAGCTGGCAGATTCTGCATACCCTGTGTCAGCTCTGTGGTCCGGCTTGGGGGCAAGCTGCCTGGCTGCCTGTGGCATCCCACCGGAGCACCGGCCCCTCCCTGGAGCAGCCCACAGCCCACTCCAAGTTTCCAGGTGTGGGCTATACCACCCACCCTGTCTCACCCTGGGACGCTCGCTACCAGCTCTGATGGAACCAAAGAAGGCCAGGGCCATCCCCTTGCAGCCTCGGGGCCCTAGATCCACTCGAGGAGGAGGGGCCAGGGCGTCTGGGGCTGGAGGACATTCTGTGTTCACCTCCTTCAAGGGCTGAGGCATTCTGCCTGGGCACCTACCCAGGGAGGCGTAGGTGTCCTTCAGGTCCTCCTTATCAATAAAGCCGTCTCGGTTCTGATCCATGAGTGTGAACGCCTGGGAACCAAGGCCAGGGCTGCTGTGCTGCTGGCCCGGATGGGCTCTGCCCCTGCCCGCTGCTCCCGGCTCCTCAGAACCCCGAGTGAGGACAGGGGCTCCCAGTGAGGCTGGAGAGTCTCACCTCCTTGAACTCCTGGATCTGAGTCTGCTCGAAGTTGGAGAAGACGTTGGATGACGCCCTCTGGGCCCGGAGGGCCCCCCCTTCCTTCTTCTTGGTCTTCCTGCTGGCCTGCAAAGGAAGCACCACGGCTGAGGAAACCCTCCAGGGCACCTGGAGTTTTGAGAGAGGTAACTCAGATGAAGGGTGGACCTCAGCCCTGGGGCTGGAGGGGGCCAGACTGCTGAAGGGCACACCAGCCTCAAGCCTGGGCAGCTGGGTGGGGGTGGGGAGGCAGTGACAGCTTCAGCACAGGGAGTTGGGGAGGGACAGTGGCTCCCAGATGCCCATGGAACACAGGGGTCAGGGTTCCTGGTCCAGCAGCAGCCAGCTCAGCCTCTGAAGGCTTGAGGGGCAAGTGGACTCTGGGTGGGCTTGTTCTGGGTACCGGCATTTCATGAAGGCCAGGAACCCCCTCATCCTACCTCTGACTCTCACCAAGGCAGGAGCATGTACCTCCTACCACCCAAAACACGCCCACACCTGCACGGTCACACACACGCACATACGCTCATACACACCCTCACATATGCACACACAGCACATGCATGCACATGCAGCACACACCCACACCCGCATGGTCTCACACACACACACACACATGAACACAAAACACACACCCACACCTGAACTCACACACTGCACGATCACACATGCACACACACACGCTTGTGCACATATGCACATATACACATGCACATATATGCATATACACTCATGCATATGTGAGTGTGGAGTGCACACATGCACATATACACACATAGCACATGCCCACACCTATATAGTCACACACATGCACAGGCACGCCCAGGCTCTTGTCTGTGCACACGCACACACATACGGTACAGCTCACAGTCACACGCCTGCCTCAGGCCTGCATGGTGGACTGCTTACCATGCCTGGTTCTGCCTGCTTCAATGCGTCTGCCTAGAGCCCTGGTTCTTGCCCATCTTAAGCTCCTGCTTGGTCCCCCAGGGAAGCTCGGACTCCGGCTGCCACTCCCTACAAGGACAGGCTTGGGGCCACCCCAGGGGACTGGACAACTGCAGAGTGAGCTTTGACAGCCCAGCAGTGACTCACACCCTTGCCATGCCCCACCCCGCAAGGTCCCCAGCCCCCCCAGGCACCTCTGGCCAGGACTACCTCCCACCCCACGTGTCCCCTGCCCCCAGGGAGGCTTTGTTCTCCCAAGGATTCTGGGTGTCACCAGGGCCACCTGCACATGCTCTTGGCCAGCAGCCTGGGCACCCTGGAATTGCAGGAGCCAGAGGAAGGGGCATCTTTTCTAGATTTGCACAAAGCTACTGGGGGCGACTGCAGCTGGTCACCAGGCTTCTGCCAAGCACACTGTGTGTCAGGGGTGTCCACGCCTCTCCCTGCCTCGGTGGCAGAAAAGTCAGTCCATAGCCTTGGCCCTGGGACCACCTCTTCTGACCTCATGGCTGGGAGCTCCTTGCCTGGCCCATGGGTGCTGACATTTCTGGTACCCTGGAGATGACCAGGCTGCTCAGATGGGCCGGGATGGGGCCGCCAGGACCCTGAGTCTGCTCTTCCCCCTATAACGTGGCCTCAGGGCAGAGTCTGGGGGAGGGACCTGGCCTGGGGTCTGTTGGTGGTACCAGATGTCGGAGGCCACCTCAGGGTCAGAATCCAGGTGCCCTGGTCCAAGGGGTGGGAGCAGGGTCGGCAGGCCAAGCAGAATCAAGGAGGAGGCCTGCAGGCTGAGCAGAAAACAAGCTCTTAGAGCCCCCAGGCCTGCATCTGGGTGGGAGGCAGCATGCAGTAGGACCCAGGGCAGCTGCCCCTTTGGGCTGCGGGGGGGGGAGGGGTGGGAGCGAGTGTGTGTAGGCACAGCAGCCAGGTGGGGGCTCTGGGGGAGCCACCGTGTCTGCAAAGCTAAAAAGACAGGTGCCACTTGCAGTCCCGAGTCGAGGTCCTACCCCCCCCGGGGGACACATTCACAGTCGGCGTCCCCTGAGATGCTGGGGCTCTGTCCCCGGCGTCAGCGGCCTCATGCAGCATAGACGACTGAGGTCGAGGACCCGGGGAGGCATAACCTACCCAGGAGGAGCTGGGACAGCCTGCAAGGGGCGAATGTCTGACCAGGTTTGGGAACCTGGGGCTGGGAGCAAGGGCCGCGGCATCCCCTGCTCCCAGTCCAGTGAGGTCTGGGTGTGACCTCCAGGGGCACTGCTGGGCTGCAAGAGTGGGGAGAACCACACCCAAGGGGGAAGCATGGTTGGGAGCCCCCTCCCACCCCGGGGCCACCGGGAATCTGAGAAGGGCTGCCGAGCCCCCTGCAGAGGGGTCCCAGGCCGCTGGAGTCTGAGCACATCGCTAAATATAGCAGCAGAGCCTGAGCCGGGGGAGTATCGGCTTCTGCCCTGACAGCTGACGGACAGCTGCAGAGGCCCCGGTGGGCGGTGTCCTGAGCCAGGTGGGACCTCTGCCCCCACTAAGCCCCAGAAAGGGCCCTGAGCAAAGGCAGGCTCCATCGGCTTCAGAGGGTCTTCCCTGGGCAGTGTGTGTGCCCAAGTGTGTTTTCTCTGCTGGTGAAAACACACGCCCCGCCTCCAGTGGCAGCTGCTGGCATGTCTCCCTCACCCCCAACATTGGGCCCCAGAGACACTTATTTTTGATTCTGGAAGCAGGAGTTGCTGAGGAGTCTAGTTTATTTTAAAGTCCAGTGAAGGGAAAACCCATTGTCCCCTGAGGGCGTCTGCCCCAGCCAAAGGAGGGGCTTTATGGGGCCAGGACGGTTCTGTGGATCCAGCACCTGCGACTTCCTCAGCGAGCAGTGGGAGGCGCTGGGGTTTGCTTCTGGCCCCGAGGACAGGGCTCAGGTAGAGGCCTCGGGCAGGAGTCTTCAGGGGCTCCAGGGCACCTCACAGAAGCTGGAGAAAAGATCGGGTGGCCCCAAAAAGGTCCCCACCTTTCCTGGCACCGGGGACCGTTTCATGGAGGACAGTTTTCCCGTGTGTGGGAGGGTATGGGGAAGGTTCTGGGATGAAACTGTTCCACCTCATTACACCAGGCATTATATTCCCATAAAGAGCGCGCGACCCAGATCCCCGGCGCGCGCAGTTCGCAATAGGGTCGATGCTCCTGTGGGAATCTAACGCGGAGGCTGGTCCGGCAGAGGGCGGGGCTCGGCGGCCCTGGTACCTCCTCGCTCCTCACCTCCTGCTGTGCGGCCCGGGCTCCTAACCGGCCACAAACCGCCACCCGTCCGCGGCCCTATAGGATCGGCCTCGGTATCCCCGGCCCAGGAAACAGCCCCGTGATTTCCCGGTTTCTCAAGCAGACAGGCCCAGAGCCTGGACCCCAGAGCAAGCCAGGAGAGGCCAGAGGCGGCTCCGAACGCCAGGCTCGTGGGTCCTCCCCATGCGGGGCACGACCTGAGTCTGTGATGCTTCGCCTTAGCCGGGCCCCAGCCACGGTTCTCCGGTCGCTTCTGCCTGTAGCCGTGCAGGGCCGGGAGACTGGGACACACCTTGCCTCACTGCTAAAGGGGGCCCGTGGGTGGCCCCGCACGAGAGGCATGGCTGCCTCCAGGAAGACCCAGGACGTGGGAGCGGCGAGGCTCCCCACCGACTGCCGGCCTGCTGTCCACCGGGCTGGCGGGTCAGCACCTCGGGACGTGGACAGGGGCCGGCAGAGACCAGTGTGCGCTCAGTGGTCCCCAGGCCTGGGTCTCGGTGGGCCTCGGAGCTCGGGGCTGTGGAGTCCCGAGGGCTGGCGTCGGGGACAAGGGAGCAGCCTCTGTTGGGGGCTGGTCTTCCCCAGCCCCTCCTCGGGACGGAAGTGATGGGGGATCCGCGGGGACGGGCGGGTGGCCCGGTGCTCCCAGGAGAGCAGCCACAGGAAAGGGGCCTGGAGGCCATGCTCCCGCGGCCCGGCAGGAGACAGACGCCGGCCAGAGGCCACGGCCCCGCACCGGAAGCCGCCTGCACTCGGCTCACACTCGGCTCCCGGGACCCCCAGCTCCCTGCCCAGGCCGCCTTCAGGTGGGCGCGGGCCGCGGGGCTGGACCCGCCCGAGCCGCCCCGATCTCAGGCCCCGGACGCCCCGCGCGGGAGGGCAGAGTACGCCCGGGTCCGCGGTCCCTAGCGTGGACCCCCGCCCCGGCCCACTCTGCGCAGACCCCCGCCTCATGCAGCAACCGCGCAGGCGCAGCCGGAGGTCATCTGCGCACGCCCCAGCTCCTGTGCGCTTGCGCACCTTGTGACGTCACCCCGCGCAGGAGGACTCAGGCACCCTCCGGCCGCCAGGGGCGCTCCCCGCCTCCGCTTTCTCGCAGCTAACAGCGCATGCGTCCGCCCAGCTCTGCCTTTGCCTCAACGGCTTTGCGGGCTTGTGTGGCGCCCTCCTCGGTCTGCGGGTTGTGCTTCCGGTGCGAAGGTCAGGAACAAGATGGCGCCGCCGGTGCAGGTCTCTCCGCTCATCAAGGTGATTCAGGCTTCGCAGCCGCCGTCCAGTGCCTTGGCCCCCTCGTGTCCCTCCCCGCAGCTCCGACCCCGCGGGCTGCGACCCTCGACCCCCTCCCCTCCCATGATCCCCACCTGGCGACCCGACCCCTACACCTCCTGCGATCTCTACCCCGGGACCCCGCCCCGTCTCCTCCCGCGACCCCTGCCCCGCGAGCCCGGTGCCCCGCCGCCTCTGACCGTCCTCTCTCGCAGCTCGGCCGCTACTCCTTCTTGTTCCTCGGCATGGCCTACGGAGCCACGCGCTACAGTGAGTGACCGCGGGCGGGGCGGGGGCGGGGTCTACTCGGCCTTCCTGGGGAGCTCCTGTACCATTCGGTGAACTCCGGCTCTGGAAGCGGGGCTGGGACGGATGCGAGGATGCAGGACCCTGTCCTCCACCGAGCGTGGCCCCGAGAGCGCGGCGGGGAGGTTGGGCTTACTGGAAATCAGCTCATTCAAAGCTCAGACTTCTGAGGCCCGGGCGGGGGGCTCGAAAACGGCTGCTTCTTGATGAAAACGGGTGCTGAGTGGGTGTTGGAGTGCTGAGGTCTGGCGGGAGGCAGTCCCTGTTTGCGGAGGACGAGTGAGCCAGTGCGTGAGGGGAGAACAGCAGGGACCCCGTAGCCTCTGGGTTGGACTCTTTAGGGTGAAGGTCAAGCCTTGACCGCACTGACGTAAAGAGAGGGGCGGCAGGTGCGTTTGGTTCACAGCGTCGCTGAAGATACCTCGACCTGTGGACTCAGTTCCTTTCATGCAGCACTTCCAGTGAAGTTCATTCCCTGAAACAGGTTACCTAAAACCTCGGGCAGAAGAGGAGAGGAGGATAGCGGCAGAGGAGAAGAAGAAGCAGGATGAACTGAAACGGATTGCCAAGGAATTGGCAGAAGGTACGCCTGACACTGGCTCTTCTACGTTATACATTGTCCCTCAGCTTTGTGCAGGGATAAGGAAAATGGAGGAGGACATTTAAGCAGAGCTAAGTAGATGTGGATTGTTTTAAAGTGGGGAAGCTGGCCGGGCAAGGTGGCTCACGCCGGTAATCCCAGCACTTTGGGAGGCTGAGGTGGGCCGATCACCTTAGGTCAGGAGTTCAAGACCAGCCTGACTAACATGGTGAAACCCCATCTCTACAAAAATTAGCTGGGCATGTCTGGGTGCTGCTGGCTCACATCTGTAATCCTAGCACTTTGGAAGGCCGAGACAGGCAGATTGCCTGAGGTCAGGAGTTCAAGATTAGCCTGGGCAAGATGGTGAAACCCCATCTCTACTAAAATACAAAAAATCAGCTAGATGTGGTGGTGGGCACTTGTAGTTCCAGCTACTCAGGAGGCTGAGCCATGAGAATTGCTCGAACCTGGGAGATGGAGGTAGCAGTGAGCTGAGATCATGCCACTGCTCTCCAGCCTGGGCAGCAAAACGAAACTGTCTAAAAAAATCTAGCCATGAATAATGGTGGGTACATATAATCCCAGCTACTCAGGAGGCTGAGGCTGGAGAATGGCTTGAATCTGGGAGGTAGAGGTTGCAGTGAGCCGAGATCTCACCATTGCACTCCAGCCTGGGTGACAGAGCAAGACTCTGTCTCAAAAAACAACTGGGAAGCTGAAGTGATCTTTTTAGATTTCCTGAGTGTAGTAACTTGTGGTTTTCTTCTAACCTTCCAGCCCAAGAGGACACCATACTTAAATGAGTGACCCTCCCAGCCTCTCTCTGGAGCCGCAGCAGATGAATAAAGCTTCCTGGGTTGTACTATACTGCAGCTCCTTCTCATTTGCTGTCGCTGGTTGTCCAATACCTAGACTCCAGCTTGGTCCATCTTCCAGTTCGTGTGGGTTGGAAGACAGGGAGGTGTTTTCTAAAGAATTAATCCACGTCGTCCGTCACAGACCCGGAATGCGTCATACAAACACAGCGGGAAGGACAGACACCCACTGCCTGTTCTGTCTGGGGCATCTGGGAGGGATCCTCAAAGGTTGTCTGTAATGGAGTCAGTCAGCTGGGGCCCTCATGGGGACGGGGTTGTTTTGATTCTGAGTTCTAGGCTGCTGCTGTCAGCAGCCCCGACCCCTGGATAGGGAGGGGTGGGCACTGGCTGCTGCCCTTACAGTTGGGAAGCTGGGTCCTCCATGCTCACCCTCACCCCCGCCTAGCACTTCACATATTCTCCCTTTGATCCCAGGAGGTGGCCAGTTCAGACCTGAGACTAAAGTCCAGCGATGTGACCTGGGGACAAGGCCTGAGTGCTGTTGGAGCTCTGTTCAGGGATGGGGGTCTGTGGTAGGTGCTGTTGGAGCTGTTCAGGAGGGGGGCCTGTGGTGCCTGAGGGGCTTCCCTTCCCAGGAGGCTTCCTGGGCTTCTCACCCCTCCTGGCTGTGAGCTTGCCAACGACCCTAACCCTTGGCCTGGTGATTTGTGTTGGATAGACTGAATGGATAGACTGAATTCGCTGCGTTCTAATTATGTGCCTTGAAAAATCTAGGCTTCTGAGCCCCAGTTTGTAAGATAAGTTCATTTGTAAATGTAAGACCAAAGGGAGAAGCAGCCTACAAGCTTTTCAGGATATTTGGTTAAGGTGAGGTTTGAGTGAGCAAGATGCTTGCTTTTTTTTTTGAGATGGAGTCTCCCTCTATTGCCAGGCTGGAGTGCAGTGGCCTGGTCTCAGCTCACTGCACCCTCCACCTCCTGAGTTCAAGTGATTATTCTACCTCAGCCTGCCGAGTAGCTGGGACTATAGGCGGGTGCCACCACATCCAGCTAACTTTTCTTTATTTTTTTAAGTAGAGACAGGGTTTCACCATGTTGGCCAGGATGGTCTCGATCTCTTGACCTCATGATCCGCCTGCCTCAGCCTCCCAAAGTGCTGGGTGAGCCACTTCACTGGCCGAGCAAGATGCTTTCACATCCTGTCCTGGCATCCCTCCTGTGCTCAGTGCAGTGGGGTCCAGAGGGGCTGGCTGCAGGGTCCCTCAGAACCTCTTAAGAGCCCCTCATCCTAGTCCCAGGCTCTGGACACCAGGGGTCTCTGACCAGTAAGGAAAATTAAGGCCGGGCACGGTGACTCATACCTGTAATCCCAGCACTTTCGGAGGCCGAGGTGGGCAGATCTCTTAAACCAGCCTGGCCAACATGATGAAACCCCGTTTCTGCTAAAAATACAAAAATTAGCAGGGTGTGGTGAAGGGCGCCTATGATCCCAGCTACTCAGGAGACGGAGGCAGGAGAATTGCTTGAACCTGGGAGGCAGAGGTTGCATTGAGCTGAGATCAAGCCATTGCATTCCAGCCTGGATGACAGGGAGACTCCGTCCAAAAATTAAAAAAAAAAAAAAAGTAAAACCACCCTCTTCCTGCAGGCCTATGGCTGTGCTGAGCATGTCTGCTGCTCCCCCACGCCCACCCCAGTGACGCCATCCAGGTGTCGCCTCGTGTTGGCAGCAAACTCCAAATGCTTTGGAGCTCACGTCAAGCATTGAAGATCCTGAACATAATGCCCATTTCACCTGTGAAGTCCCTTTCTTTGCCTCTGTCCTTTCCTCCAGGCTCACCAATATTAAATCATGGGGGTACACTGGCTTCAGCACCCAGCCCGGCCCTGCCCTGCCCTCCTGGTGCCGTCTGCAGCCTTCAGAGCTGCTCTGCGTGGTGTTCATTATTCAGACTGCAAAGTCTGATCGCCACCCTCCTCCGGTCTTGACCTTTCTGGCAGAATTTCCTGATGGGTCAAAAGTAGTGTGGCTTCTGCTAAAACTTTACCACAAATAATGGGCGAGTTGTTTTCTGTTTATTTTATTCTTAATTTCTGAACATGTGTGTTTTCCTAAACCAGATGTCAAACAGCATCTCTGTGTCCATCTGTTTACCAGTATACACAGATGTACACGGTGGCTCCAAGTGTTCTCAGTGATTTCAGAGTTCACCGACCCAAGAACGCTCTCCCAGTGCTAACTATTGAGTGATGTAGGGCTACACTGTTTATTCACAGGTGGCTTCAGTTTATAAAAACACAAACCTTAAAAAAAACTTAGGCCGGGCGCAGTGGCTCATGCCTGTAATCCCAGAACTTTGGGAGGCCGAGGCAGGAGGTCGCCTGAGGTCAGGAGTTCGAGACCAGCCTGGCCAACATGGTGAAACGCTGCTTCTACTAAAAATATAAAAATTAGCAGGGTGTACTGGGAAGCGCCTGTAGTTCCAGCTACTTGGGAGGCTGAGGCACAAGAATCACTTGAACCCGGGAGGTGGAGGTTGCAGTGAGCTGAGATTGTGCCACTGCACTCCGGCCTGGGCAACAGAGCAAAATTCCATCTCGGAAAAAAAAAAAAAAAATTAAAATATCCAAATTGACCTTCAGTCACTTTCTTGGGCATCTTAACCTCCTGTAGCAAACAGCCAGAACCCAAGTCCTTGTGGGTGAAGACAGGGAGCTGTTGGGTCCCACGGGACCGGTGTCACAGGATACAGCAGGTTGAAGACTTGGGTGCTGGGCCGCCATTGCAAATTTCTGTGCCCACTGCCAGAGAAGACAGAAGATGGTGAGTGGGAACCACGTGTGCACACCAGCCCCGTTCCTTCCCTCCTGCCTGGTGTGACCTCTACCAACTCCTGCAGGAGAAAGGACAGTGCTGAGGGGTATGGCCAGCCCAAGCCGATTAGCCTGGCTGAGCCTCTCTTAGTGCTTTAGTCCCGTTGACACCGTGCCCTGATTGCACTCATCCTGGCCTCCCACAGCCTTGAAGTCGCCTTGTTTACGTAGCATGGGGTGGCGGGAACAGCGTGGGGTAGCGGGAACAGCGTGGGGTAGCGGGAACAGCGTGGGGTAGCGGGAACAGCGTGGGGTAGCGGGAACAGCGTGGGGTAGTGGGAACAGCATGGCATGGTGAGAATAGCAAGCCAGACCCCAGAGCTAAGGTAGCCAAGTGTGGCAAATGGCAAGGCCACGATGCCTTTGGGATTTGAATTTGGGAGTGTGCTGACTTGTGACAGCGGAGTCCTTTATGCGGGACATAACACATGCTCACTTCTGTAGTGAAAAATGGGGTTCACTGGCTAGGAATGGAGTAAGTTTTTCTGTCCGGGTTACTATGGAGGTGGAGTCGGCAGCTGCTGTCCCCGCACCACGGCCCCTCTCCCCTCAGTGTGGCCCTGTGGGAGGAACCAGGCACATCTGCCTCGGGGTGCTTCAAAGCGGCCCTGCTTTTCTCTAGGCTAACTCTGCTCTGTGCCCTGTCTTTTCACGTTGCCTTGGGAGCGTCGCTGAGTCCCTGCCCTGCAGGCCACACAGAGCCAGACCTTTCTTGGCCTCCACCCTGTCCTCCTGCTTCTTCTCCTCCAGAGCCTTCATCTTGGCCTCGTACTCATCAGCCAGCGCCTTCCACTCCTTCCTGTTGTTCTGCAGTCGGTCGAACATGGGGAGGATCTCTTCGTGGAAACGGGAGAACTCCTGAGGGGGGTCGAGAAGTCACTGCGTGTCCCACCTGCTCTTGAGGGTTGGGATAGCTCTTTCCCAGCTCATCCCTCCCCGAGGGGGAACTGCTGGGCAGGAGGAGGGGGCACCTTCCGGGCAGAGCTCTGTGAAGGGAGAAGGCTCGGGGCTTGTGCTGGTGACATATTTGAATGCTGAGAGTACCATGTTGCAGGGAGAGGAACCCAGGAACGAGCTTGGGGCAGGGGCAGGTGCCCCGGCAGAGGGTGGTAAGCGCAGGTGGACAGCAGTTCCTGCAGTGCCTTCTGTCCCTCCCACACACACATCACACGAGCACACCACCTGCACATGTGCACATCACCTAAGGTGGGGCAGGGTGGGGAAGGCAGTGGGGGCACCTGCGGGGGGCCGTGACCTGTTGCCACTTTAGGCCCCAATGTCCTCCCTGGTCCTGCCTTCTCCCCAGCACTGATGGCCCAGCTCAGGTGGGATGGGTCAGGGATGACTTCGTGTGGAACCTGAGGCATCCTCTTTGGGGTGGTGAGGATTCCAACACCATGGAGAGTGGCCAGAGGGGGGTGGCTCTCTTGAGCATCATATGGGGGCTCCTCAGTCAGACCCCATCTCCCCCACAGCGCCCACCTTGCATCCTCAGAGACTTGTCTGGGCACTGGGTCTGTGGCAAATCTGCAGGGTTGTGGCTCCTGCTGTTCAAAATGCCATTGTGGGCGGACACACCAGGAGACAAGCAGACCCAGGCCCCCCTCACGGAGGATTCACAGGCACCTTGCGGGCAGGTGCACAGGCAGACAGGCAGACCCAGCTCGCCTCAAGGGTTTACAGACACCATGCTGTGACACCAGGCAGGCGGACACACCAGGAGACAAGCAGACCCAGGCCCCCTTCACGGAGGATTCACAGGCACCTTGCGGGCAGGTGCACAGGCAGACAGGCCGACCCAGCTCGCCTCAAGGGTTTACAGACACCACGCTGTGACACCAGGCAGGCAGACACACCAGGAGACAAGCAGACACACCAGGAGACGAGCAGACCCAGGCCCCCCCACCGAGGATTCACAGGCACCTTGCAGGCAGGTGCACAGGCAGACAGGCAGACCCAGCCCGCCTCAAGGGTTTACAGACACCATGCTGTGACACCAGGCAGGCAGACACACCAGGACACAGGCAGGCCTAGCCCACCTCAAAGGTTCACAGACACCATGCTGGCAGGTGGGCACACAGGCAGACAGACAGACCCAGGACCCCCTTGAGGGTTCACAGAAGTGGTGCAGGCGGGCACACCAGCACAAAGCCAGCCCCAGCCCCAGCCCCGCCTC